TTCCCCTCCCCCCCCCCTCACCTGCTAGATGGGAGGGAGAAAACTGAACTCTTCCCGAAGGGAGCTGGCTGCGAATGAGGAGTATCTGGAACAGACTTGCACTTGCAACAAAAGGCTGTTTTGGGGCTAAAACCTTGATAGCTTTTTTTTTTTTAATGCCCTCACTGGCCTGTAAAGAGGAATACAAATATTGCGTATTGTAAAAGGTCATGGTGGAGCCTGGAATGCACCCGTGTGCAGCTTCCTCTGGGCGGGATGGCAGTCTTGCACTCCAGTAGCTTTTCTTTTATAAACGGAATGGTCAAGAAGTACTAAGGGGAGCATAAAGAACACTTGGATTTCAGTGCCTAGTCACGCCTGTGGATACAGACTGCTGCAAGAACACCATAGTCCATGTTTCCTATTGCACGTGCGGTCTTGGCATTGAACCCAGCTGCTGCACTATTTAAAGGGACACTGTCAACACAAGTGACACATTTGTCCTTATTTGCTATTGTTGAGATTGGGTGGGGGCCTTAATTTTGATTTTTTTGCTGTCCTTTGGAGATTTGACTGTGCTTTGTGTGTTTTGCTTCGTCCTGCTGTTATGCAATAACATAACATAATATTCACAAACCACTGTCGGTGGAGCTGACCAGCCGCACCACGAGAATGCTGGGTGTCTTTTCCGGTCCCGCAAATGCCTCTCTGGAGGACAAAGTGTGCCCATAGTGACCCTTCCTGTATGTAGTTCGTGGCAAATGTTCTGTCTGGCATTCTCGGGGCTGGGTAAAGTCAGTCTCATCAGCCGCACCTTGCCAGAAGTTTGACAATGCAGTGAAGGCTTCGGGAAGAAAAGCCGCTACCAGTTTTTGCTGTTAATTTCACAGTAACAGAGATGGTCTCATCAAACCCGTTCCTCTGAAGATTTTCTATAAGGTCATACTTAAGAGCAAACTGGAGTTTTATAATCTTCTGGGTGACAGGGTCACTTTATCATGTGTTGTATCTAGGCTTGGAAGGATTTCGTTTTTTAATTGGCAAATGTTGGTACACCTTGATTTTTTTTTTTCACCAAACACACAAGCAGACAAATATGTCCATTGATGATGATCAAAATTTACCAAGCGGCAAAGTAAGAAAACTGCTACTTGAGAACCCTAGAGTTCTTTAAGGGTATTGACGTTGTATATTTGACATCTGATGTGAACAGTTTGCGTTTTAACGGTTATGAGACTTTAATGACAGGAGACACAGATTCAAACAGTTAAATAATTAGTCTGACCCCCACCATAACTTCCAGCACCTGCAAACATTAAAAAAAATACTTAAAACCCATCATTTTGCACAACTTTGATAATTTAAACAATATATTGAAAAAATGTTTTAAAATGAACATTGATATTCTCTGTTGAAATAAATAAATATATTAAAAAATGGAATTCTGCCAAGCCTAGTTGTATCCTGTTATAATGTAGAGGAGAAATGATCCCCTGCTCTCCACAGGATAAGGGAGCCATGGACCTAAAGTTCCTCTCAGTCTCCAGCGTCAAAGGCTGAATTCCTGAACTGAGACCCTTTCCCAGTTGTAGCTGTAACATTCGTCTCCCAGAAGTGGCTGGGGATGGATGTGCGCACAGCCAGGGGTTCCAGTGCATGGTTGGAACAAAGGCGAGAGAGATGGGACCCTCTGTGACCTCTGGCCACTCATACCCATTCGACAGGTGGTTAGTCTGAGGCAGGCAAATATTTTAAGGCCCTATTCCTGCTGTGAGCTCTCTAATGGCCATTCCCTGTGTCGATTGCTACCTTCATTGATGCTCCACAGGGATCTGCTGCTGCAGGATCAGCGCCATGCTGTCTAACAGGCTGTTACATTTATGGTGTTGTTTAAAGCATCAGAGTTTGTTGTAAGCAAGGTTTTCCCTCGGGCCCCAGTAACACCTTAAGTCATTAAAGCAAATAAAGTCACATTGCTTTCGTTCAGAGGAGAGATGGTTTTGTGGTTAAAACCAAGAAAGCCAGGAGGCTGGTGTTCTGTTGCATGCTGTGCTATAGCTTTGCTGTGTGACCCCCATAGGCACGTTCCTGAATGGCAGCGCCCTGAGGATTAAATAAAGGTTGAACAGGCACAGAGCGGCGAAATGTGCGAACAAAACAAGTGAGCACCATGCTGCTGGATTCTCCAGAAATGCCCAAGTCTTGTGCTGTTTACTTGCATTTCTCTCAGCCTGGACAGCTGAAATCAGTAGAGTCAGCCAGTCCTATTATACGGTGGTCACTCCTTTAATATATTGGTTGCAAAAATGACAAAGAAGGTTCACTTGTTTATTGACCTTCTCAGAGCTTGATTCTACAGAACCTAGATCTGGGCAGATACTGGAGTCAACAGCATCCCTTCAAAGTCAGTACATGGTTGAAAGGGGTTAGGCATGTGTTACTGCTATGAAGGAGAGTAGAAGGATTTGAATCAGCAGGTGTCCTTGAACTTACTTGTGAATGGCTGTGGTCTGTTTTGTTTGCACAGGAGAATGCCTGTTCCTTCTTTCTCATCCCCTCTGGAGAGTCAGTAAAATGGAGAAAATAAAAGCTCTAGGTTGACATGAAAGGCTTCAATTAGAGCTTGAAAAGTGTCATTCTTCCCCCTCACTCCCCCTTGGACTTCTCAAAGAGACAAGATGGGATCAGCTCTAGGGATTGGGTTGGGATTCTTGCCCTGAATCTTTTATAGGCTTTATTTTAAGACCAGACGAGGTCCCTAAGATCTAGCCCCAGGGGTTCGTAACTTGAGGGTTGTGAGTAGTCCTAGGGTGTTGCTGCCACTCATCCTTTCTTTATGGGGCCCAAACCTTTTCTCCACGGTGCGGAAAAGGTTGAGAACCTCTGATCTAGTTGGACCTCCTGCAGAGACCAACTCAGGACATAGTTGGCAGACATCTGCTTTTTTCCTTTCCAACAGCGAATCAAATTCTTATCCGCTCGAGGATACTAGCTCACTGTGGTGAGCTAAGTAAGGGGCGATGGCGTTGGATGCTAGAATCCTTTTTTTAAATAACCTAAACTTAGCCTTGTGGAAAGATGCTGAAACTAAGTTTCTAGGATTGAGTATACAGGCAGGGAACATGAGTTTGATGGGT